TTTGTCTCTCCCTGTCTCTCCTTTGCTGTGTTTGTCTCTCCCTTGCTCCCTCTCTCTTCCTCACTCCTTTATGTCTCTCCCCCACCGCCGGTCTGTCCCTGTGTCTTCCTCACCGATGGCCTCTCCCTCAGTGGTGAAAGTACGCCTCCTGCAGCTGAACACCACCAGTGCCAGCCTGACCCGGTTCTCCCTGGACCCGCGGATCGAAGTTCTGAAGCACGGCCCCCTGCTGGGGGGGGAGGTCCGGGCGCGGCTGCAGCTCTGGCTGGACCGGGACGCCACCTGCGTGCACAACATGACGCGCCGCGCCCCCCCCGCGGGCACCTACGTCATCGTGGGCGCCGTGCGCGGCGGCCGGCTGGTGGTCCACAAGGCGTACGGCTGGCACAAGCGGGACAGGAACCTCGTGGCGGCCACCAGGAAATGGAAACGCCACCGCTGCCGGGGGTAGATCCGGGAGGAGGGGACGGACAGCCAGGAGGGCCTCCCCGAGGCGCGGCGGGTGAACTTGTACAGGCGGAGTGGCACGGAGATGCCACAGGCTCCCTGCAGCTACTCTGCGACGCTTGTTCCGCGTTCCGATTCCGTGTACACACGCGTGCACGGGCGGACGCGCTGGTGAAGGGGCCGGGCCTTACTGGATCGAAGGGGGCCGCCCTTGGCTCAGAGGTGACGTGCCCGAGTGACGGAGCGGACACAACGACACAGTGACCCGGCCCCGGCCCGTGAAGTCAAACACCCTGCACAATACCGTGGCTATCTTGCCAAACTGAGGTCACACACCTCCGCATCGGACTCCGTAAAGAACAGCACTGTGCCAAGTCACGAACACCACCTTGTGCTGCCTGTACCATGGTTATCTTTATTATCTTTTTGTCAAGGCTTCTCATTTGAATCCTGCAGCTCACCGTGCAGAGATAAGTGTGGCGAGAGCAACCCCTACAGGCTGGAAACGGTACTATAAAGTATTAAACTGGGTTCTAGGGTGCAGTGCAGTTAGCAGTGAAAACTTCCAAGTCTAACTTACCAGGTCTGGGGTATAATAAGGGGTTTTAAATGTACTATATGTCATTTCGGTACGAGAAAGGCTTCAGCAACCTCCAGGGGAAAAACACACATCTGTCTCACTTTGCCATTACTCAGCAGCACAGGAAGTGCGGAGTAAATGTATAAGGAACCCTTCCAGAGCATTACAGATAAGAAAAACCTGTTTTATAAGCCACGTGAAATATGCTGTTCCTACGTAATCTGACATTCCTAGATAAGAATGTAAGAAAAAAAAACAATTATTTGTAGCCTATGTGACAAATGAGAACTTATTGTGCATTGTAAAAATGTGTAAATATATTTTTCTACTGTTAGAAATGCTGTATAAAGCTCAATTACTTCACCAGGCATGACTCTGAACAGTATGGATGCACATCACCATGTGCTTCAGATTTTACAGTACCTTTGTGTGCAAATAAAGGTTTCAGTACACACCGGTAGAAAACTGAAATGTCTTTCCAAGTTACATCCCAGAAACCTCACGTTCCTGAAGTGCCACAGAAGCCCTGAAGACACCAGTGCGTGTCGCTCTCCCTGTGTGGGGAGCGGACTGGGGGATCTCTGTTGTGACGGAGTCAGCCAGGGAAATAAAGGTCAGGACAACACAGGACAAGACCAGAGGGACGCCCAGCCGGAGGGCCAGTCACAGTCCCAGGAGAACCGGAACAACTCCAGCAGGACTGGACCTCTTTTTAGGGGAATAAGGAAGCGTTTAATTTTATCTCCCCGAAATGATACATCATGAATGTCCCTATGAAATAAAGATTTCTTTGCAAACTAAACTATCAGAAACTATGAAATACATCAGTGTTTCCAACTAAAAGAAAACAACAACTACTTTTTTCGTAAATCTATCTGTTCAGCAGGTACAGGCTGTTCTTGATAAACAGGCCCCACGAAGGCTGATTCAGCACAGTCATGACAAAAGAATTACTGTTTGTTACAGTAACTGAAAAAAGTCCAAATTCTGGGACAAATGTGAAATATTTTGCATTACACTGTTACTATGCTCTCCTCCCCACTGAGAGCTGGTGTGTGGGGAGCGGACTGGAGCACTATGGCTGCCATCACATCATCCAGGTGGGGCTGCACACTGGTGGTGGTGGTGGAGGGGATCCCCATTACCTGTAAAGCGCTTTGAGTGGAGTGTCCAGAAAAGCGCTATAGAACTGTAAGCAATTATTCTTATTAATTACACAATTTACAGTTGGGGGGGATTAGATAAGTCAGTGCGAACTCCGCTGTCTGGAGTACTTTACCAGTGAGGTGGGGCATATTCTTATAATTTTTTAAGCCCCCAGACATCTAGAACCCCCCAACCGTCCCCGGCACCCCACACCCCGTGTGTGCATTAATGCAGCAGGTTCGTCTCTCACCGAACAACAGGGGCTTGAGGCTCAGCGTCTTCATCTCATGGACTTTGTCGGGCACCAGCGCCACCTTCTGGACATGTCCTACCTGCACAACGGGGAGCAAGCAATTAGACTGACTCACGGCTCACAAGACGGTTTCACTCAGCAGTGCTTAGCCCCAGGAGGCCCCAGGCCTGCCGGTGTCGTAGGGATTTTAACGGCAGGAAAGATCAGAAACCCGGGCGTTCTGATCATTAACAGCCCCTTTAACACGTGGAGGAGAGAGAGAAATGGCACATGCAACTTGAGCACGCATTCAGACTGGTCCGACCGATGCAGAACGGTGTCAGGGAAGGGAGAGAGGGTAGCAGCAGGAAATGCAAAGAGAGAGAGATCAGAAGAAAGCAGGAGGAGAAGTGGGAGTCTTTCGAGGAGCAGAGAACGTCTATTTAGTTCACTTTTAAACACGGGAAGGTATTTTATCTCATCACCTGCACACTGAATTCCTGCACTGCTTGTCACTGGCTTTTATGTCTCTCTGTAAAAAAGAAAAATGTGCAAGATGCACCTTTAATTATTGTTTTCATCATCAGTCATAACCCAGCGTCCTGCCTAAACCCCAGCCTGGTCTGGGACAGTCTGGCCTGCCTACAGCTGCCACTGAGTCCACCTGGTGCAACAGCTTCTCTCCATCCTGCCCCTGTTGGGCTGCGGTGCCCCACCCAGTTGGGTGGGGGGGGCTGCACTGCACTGCACTGGGGGCCCAGAAGTGATCCCCTTCCACAGGGAAAGGCGCTATAGGCGAACGGTCATGTCTTGTGCAGTTACCCATGACTGCAACCCCTCAGCCCTTCTGAAACACAATGCAAACCGAGTCAGACGCAGGGCGAGATGCACAGTACTGCTGAGGTGCGTGGATAGCGCTGGCCTCCTAGGGCACACAGAGAACCGGACCAGCGGGGTAAGGATCATAGCCGGGCTTTCCTTACCCTGATGCCCTCGATGCGGGGCAGATACAGGGGCCCCCCGGGCCCCGCGTGCGAGACAGGGGGCAGCGGGTCGGGCTCGGGGGCCCTGCCGGCGGCGGGGTCCGGGGGCTCCCCGGGGCCGCTGTTGTAGTGCACGTACAGCAGCAGGGCAATGACGTTGATGATGTAGACGTGGAAGAAGACCATGACCACCACGAAGTAGGAGCGGGAGCAGACGCTGCTCTTCTGCAGGTGGATCCGGTCCCGCGGAACCGGCAGGCTGGGCCCCAGCCGGCCCAGGCCGACCTGCTGCTCGTCCTTCATCGCCAGCAGCTCGGGGGTCCGCAGATACACCGGATAACCTTCCCCCAGGAAGCGCCCTGGAGCTCCGGGCTCCTGAGGATGACAGAACTGACGTCGCTACAAGTCCTCTCCCCCAAAACAAACATCCAGGGGAAACTTACAACCGTGTCCCTTTGAACCCGTTATGGCTGCTCTTGACGTAAAATCCTGAGCATTACTGACACCCACTTGCTCGATAACCTCACCCACTAAACAATTTTATTATTGCTATTCCAAACACACACACACACCAACACACACACCAACACCAACAATAACAACGCCGGTTACTCGTCGCTAGCTGCGACATTTCAGCCAGCTCGCCAAACCTGGTACGCACCGTGTCTGCCGTGTCCGCCAAGTCGATAAATATATAAATAGGTCTGCAGAGAGAGACCTATCGACTCTGCTGGGCTGTTTTAAAGCGGACCGACGTCTTCTCGACGTCGCGATCTCAGTAACCAAAACACAAATCACTCTTCCCGGGGAAAATAACACACGTCTTTCCCGGACGGTCAAAAGTCATTTCTGCTTTTACGCTGCTACTCCCGCGGGTACCGTTGTTTTGTTTTGTTTTGTTCTTCCCCCCCCGCTCCAGAAGACAGCGTCACGGATATCAACACAGCATCAATCGACTTGGCCAAATATGTCTCTCAGCCGCACTCGCCCGGACGGGTCCGACGCCATTACCCTGACAACTGCGGCAGCCGGCGCCGAGGAGAGCGGCTCGGGCGAGAGGAGCGACACCGCGCTGGGAGACCAAGGGGAGGGGAGACGCGCTACTCCCCCCTAGCGGCGGACACCCAGTACTGCACATACACACAGTCTCGGCCCCAGCGCAGCCAGTCGGCGCTTGTGGTGATGATGATGATGATGATGATGATGATGATGATGATGATACTACTAATAAGTAATAGTTCAGGTGGGGAGCTGCGTCAGCATGCGTAGTCTGCAAAGGAACAAGTAAGAGGTTTATTCCATGCTGAAAAGAGAAGAGAGAAAACACAACGTTTCGGCTGGGAAGCCTTCTTCAGGTTGGGAGAAAGACAGGGCAGACAGCTAAAGCCTTCTTCACCCTTCTTCCCAGCCGAAACGTTGTGTTTTCTCTCTTCTCTTTTCAGCAGGGAATAAACCCGTAACTTGTTCCTTTGCATAATAATAATAATAATAATAATAATAATGAGTGCTGTGTGGAGTATGTGTTGAGTGAGAGGGTGTGTGTAGTGTGGAGGGTGTGTGTGTGTTGAGTGAGAGGGTGTGTGTAGTGTGGAGGGTGTGTGTGTTGGGTGAGAGGTATGTGTGTGTGTTGGGTGAAGGGGTGTGTGTGTTGTGTAGAGGGTGTGTGTTGTATGTTGTGTGGAGTGTGTGTTGTGTAAGGCGTGTGTATTGTGTGGCGGGGATGTGTGTTGTGTGTTGTGTGTGTTGTGTGAGGGATGTGTGTGTTATGTATGAGGGAGCTGACTAATGGTAGATCGCAAACGCAGAGAAGAGACAAGTGTTTTTAACGAGCGAGGAGCCCCTGTGTTGTGGGGTCTTGGAGAGGTGAAAACCGGGGTCTGAAACACCGTCCGCGACTCCACACCCCAGGTACCCCCTCATCGACCAGGGCAGGCAAGAGAAGCGAGGTGGTCTCTGGGGGGGAATAGTGAAACCCGCTTTAAATTTACTGAGCTCAACTTCCGTCATGGATCTGAAAGGTCTTACAAAGGCACCGGGACGTCGGAGCCTTCGATAGTAACGAGGGTGCGTGTGTGTGGAGGTTAAAACGGGTCGGACGGCAGAGCGGGCGGCAGTAAGATTGAACTGGAAAGAAACGGGCTCAGCCAAGGACGTTTCCGCACTGCCCGGCATCCTGACCAGCCGTGTGGAGGGCGTCCAGGCGGCGTGTGAGTTCTTACTGCTTCGTTTAAGTAACGTCTTGCCCGGACAGGTGAACTTCAACGAACTGCACCCCCATGGCGCGGGAGGTCCCCCGAGGCTGACGCGCGGGTTGCGCCTGGCTGCTGCCCCCACTCTCCCCCGTCACGACGCTACTTCGGACCCACGAAGTCACGAAGATCGTCGAAGGGGGCTGCTCGTTTTAATCAGCCAGGTCTCGGGCGTGAGGCTTGATCCATCCCGCGGCACGCTGAGCTCATCGCTCTGATTGCACTAATCAGTGGGCGATGCCGTGTAACGGTTATACATTAGTACGCCGTGATTTGGTGGCATTTTTTTTTTTTACAGAATGCCAATAGTTCGTCCACGGAGAATAACCTCCCCTCCTCTAGCCAGTCGAGCTTAGCTGCGATATGACCAATCCTCGCAGTGACGGCGTCTTGAGACATCAGCAGACGACCACAGCAGCGGTGTCAGCGGTCGGACTGGAATCAGTTCCGTAGCGCTGCTCACCCGAAAGGAGGTCCAAGCGATTGACATGCAGGAGGGGCCCAATTCACCACCACCCCCACCGTGAAGTGCAGTCCGGCCTGGGGGGTGGGGGGGTGGGGCTGGTATCTCTTTCATCTCCTCACGGCGTCACGGTCCCAGCCGTGCCGTTCTCTCCCGATCACACGCCCCAGCTGAAATC